CCGGTCTCTTAGAATTCTTTCTCTACATCAGAGCAATAGGTTCTCTACATCAGCTGTCAAAGGTAGCACCCAATGTGGGCGATGAGAAAAAAGGGCAAACTATCCTATTCGGTGGCTTACTGTACACACAACAACCATCCTGTCATACTTTTCAAACCACTGATTTGCGATGGCTTGAGTACTACTGAATATATCTCTTCGAAGTTTTCAATACAACGTTGCAACGTCCTGTAGTTTTTGTTAGTTGTTGCCCTGGAAACCATCAGGGTCTTCTAACTATAATGCCACAAATTGATCGCATTGTTCCTGTAGTGATCCTTTCCCAAGTTAACATGCTCCTTTTCTAATTTGACAGCACCGTATTTCCAAGCAAACTTGGAAAAATTTAAATCGAAAACATATCCTATCCCGTATAAAGACAGGCAATATAAGTGGTATTTTTAACATTCACGACATCTATCAGTACCATGAGTAGATTTTAATAACATAGTGAAATAATTTGATTAAAAATCATTTTAAAAAAATAACAAAGAGTTTTCGGCAGATCAAATGGCGGGAATTTGTTATGCTATGTAAAATCGAAAATAATATTGGCTTACTTAATATATTTCAAAGTACAAAATATAATAATTCAAATAATTCGACTAATATTCTATAAAAGATATTTCGAAGAAATGAAAGTCCATTATCCTGGATTACCTGTAGTAAACAAAATTTTAAAGATATGCATAAATTATTTCTTTTGTAAAATATATTTGAGTGACATGAGTGCAATTAGTGAAATCATGAACAATGCGAGCGGGTTTTCCAAATGGACTTGTACAGTGGATAAGACAATAGAATGAATATTTAGGAAATATATTTCTCCGTTAGCTCTTAAGAATTTGTAGAAACCGATTAGCATGTAAATAGTTTTTAGGAAATTTATAATTGTAGGTAAAAATTGTTGTTTGTTATCTAAATGAAGAGATGGGGATACGTATGACGAGATTTGATTGGAGAAGAATGAAAAAAGTGGGATGGTTTGTAGGAGTGAGAGTTAGCTAGATTTTTGAGGGAAAGAAGATAATCAGTTGGTTTCGAAGGGTAAAAGCGAACAGTCGTTGTTCTCTGGTGGTTCCCCAGAGGTAGGAAGGAGTAGAAGTGAATGTTTGTGAGTTTTTCGTGCAGTTGGTGTATCTGACAGAAGCTGATCCAGTAAAATATTGTAAGTTATATTTTTCCACTTATATTCCAAGAGTCACTGTTCAAGCCAGAACGAGAGATTCAGTTTATCGAGAGGAGAAGAGGCTAGCATAATTTGAACGATACGTGCATTTGAAGGAGATCATTAAAGACGATAGGGTCGCAACAATTTGTTGTAAGATTGCTGATTACCTAGGGGACTGCTAAGAATTGATAGTGTAGGCTACAAGGAACAAAGATTTGGACAACTCATCATCCGAGAGATAGTTTTACTATTCATCAGTTTTTCTTTATTAACAACACATTTGTTTTTACAATTGCTTTAGAAAAGATAGGAATATTTTGATCAGGAGATTTAGAACAACAATTTTGATTTGAGATTTAAATTTATATTGTATATACCATAAATTTTGAAGGTTCACGTACGTAGAACAAAATTTGGATAATCATTTTATTCAAAGTTTATTTAATTTTTATTTTATTTTATGTTTAAAAAAACATATATGTTGTATCATATATGTTTTTTTTATTATTCCGGTATTCTTTAGACCTTACCTACCATATGTAAAGCATAGATATTGAAGCACAAGTATAACCTTGAGATAAGAGAATTAAATAGTTGATAGAATCATAATTGCATCATTTAAATAAGTTTAATTAATTAATTAATTAGCTAATTAATTGCTTGGCGTACCTCAGACTTTTAATATCACATTATATATATATATATATATATATATATATATATATATATACGTATTGGTTTTAAAGAGAGATTAAGCATATGTCATATGGCATTTTCCTTTATTCTTTCCTAAACCAATCCTCCAACATATAGGATTTTTCCTTTTTTTTTTCCTTATTATTTGATTCAATTTTTATGTAGGTACTTTTCTTTCAGTGAATACTATTTTGGGCAAATTTACGTTACATAATATATAGTAATGATTAAAATAGAACTTACCTGAAAAAGCACACCAGTTACAACTACCCTCAACTGTAGTAATAAAAAATATGTAGTTGGATCAAACGAGGATAAATTCAAAAAGGCTAAATTGTTGTATAAGCAATATAAAAAAGCGGGAACAAAGTAAAGGAGTAATACATGTTTGTTCTTAATTACTTCAGAGATCAGTTGACCAGCAGTGTTACTAAAAAAAATGAAATCAATTTACGCCTAACGATAAGTCTTGTTACTTACTCTTTGCAATAGAGAACTGACGAAATGACTAACTTTAAAACTTCTGTCAATAGTACTACTGTTACGATATTATAGTTGTAATTGTTGTCTGATCGTTGTGAAGCTGTTACCAAAATTCCTAAAACATAGATCATCAGAAGAAAGTTAATATTAAACGTTATAATTAACAAGTCAGCTAAGAAAGCAAGATTCTGATTCTTTTTCCTTAGAGACTTAGGGTAGCTGAAGCAAATGACTTACTATTCATTATCTTGTTACGATAAAATATGACTCATACCTAAACTGTAAACATTTTATTAATCTAAAACGTATTTTCTAGTTGATTCTCCGACCCTCCGATGAAAACCTGTCTTCCTTCGATGGGATTCCATTCTATTCAAGTAGATCATCGTCTGCTAGAAGGGACTCCGGAATAGCGGCTGTTTTATATATATGGAGGACATTTTATTGAAAGGCGGTCAGTCCGAAAATATAATTGTATCGAGTTTTGAAATGTAACGCGCGTATTGTCGGGAATACAAATTGTAATAAATGTTGTAAATAAATTATATAATTATAGTGTGAAATAAATTGGTGTGTTATTGTATATAAACTTTAATAAACTAAGTGTTAGAACATTTTATTTATAATAAATAAAGTTAATAAATTAGACTTATAAATATAGTACAATCTTTTTTATTAATGGTAACCTTAAAAATTCAAACAGTCAAGTAACCAAGAGGGGGATTCAAAGGAGTAGTGATGCGCAATATAAGGTGTTGCTTCCTGATAACACCTCTAGCCACTCCTACTCAATTCCTATCCTCACCTCCAAGAAGTGTGGCTTAATCATACGGCTCAATCCCGTCAAACCTGAGCAGCCTTACTGGAAATTAGGTAACCAACCCCAGAGGAAGGTAGAGTCAGGGCCGACGAGGAAGGAATATTGTGCCAAGCAGGTCAAATTATAAGAATGGATAATAACATAACACCTAGTAGAACACTTAGTGGAACTATGATGGGACATCTGCCAGTAGGAAGACCGGTGGATGCTAAAGAGATACTGAGGGTGGATAACTAAAAAACAAAGAAAGGGATGCTTGGAAGCGGGTTCTTTCGACTCAAGCTGTAACGCCATTAAGAGAAAGAAAGAGAGAGAGAGTAACCAAGAGATGCAACAAAAAATATATATTTAAAGATATTTAAATTGGCCGTTTTTCGCCAACTTTTTTCATTTATCTCTCTCGTTCCATTCCTCAACACTACCTATATGTTCATATCTTCATATCTTTCTTAATTTTTTATTCTTTGCTTTCTTGTTATCTCACTGTGCTTGCTATTCTTGTATTTCTTAACCTTTAATTGATTTCTTCTTCTATATGTTTTGCCTATAAAATGTTTCTTATATGTTTTAGAGTAAAATTGTTCAAATTGTATATCATCAAAAAATATGTAATTTGAGGGTGTCCAACGATTTGGCACTGACACCAGCACAAATCAGGAGAGCCATGGAAAAAATTTAATTGAAAAACCTGCACCAAAATGGAAAGTAGAGATCTCCAACTGGAATGACAGAAAATGTTGGCATCTGGGATGCAAGAAGCTCTGGGATTCTAAATATCAAATACGTTTGGGGTATTAAAAACTGCCACAAATATTTTATTTAAATGCCACAGGATTACTTAATGAACATTATAAGTACTACTGAACTAATGAACATGTTTAATGTATTAATTAAAACTCAGGAAACGACATATGAAAATAAGTTACATATTTGAAAAAAAACTAGCCTCTACACAGTTAATAGAAATAAACAGAAATAGTTTCTGCAATTTTAGTAGTGTTACATCATGAAGCAGTAAATATTCTAAAATCTCAACAAACCAAAGGCTACACAGGAAGACATTCAAATTAAAGGGTTCCGTTATAAGGAAGAAGTTTTAAAAACAGATATATCAAGAAGGAAATTAAAGAAAAATTAAAGAAATTGACAGTAACAGTATTGAAGTGGAAATGATTAAGGTGAATTAGGTATGGAGTGACGAAAATCAAACACAACATTATTAAATAGTTAAAGAAAGTTGCAATAATTTAATTTTCGCGAAAAACATGCACTGGTATACTTATCTGTCAGAACTTTCAAAGCTACAAATAAATAAAATTGTAAGACCACTTCTGGGAAGTATTGAATAGATAAGCCTAGCATAGATTTTACATGTAAAACTTACCTTGATTAACAAATAAAAGTATGTAACCGATAAAAATAATCAAACTTAATTTAGTTGGAAATAGTTCTTTCCAATTTAAACTAGACATTGTTTTAATATACCGATTAACATCGTTCTAGCATAATTGACAATACATTTAAATCTAAGTATATAATGTATTAATTCATTACATCAAGCTCTTTTAAGATATCATTATCTTTAAAACCCAAAAAGTCGACTAAATTGTTGATGTGATTTGTTGATAATAAATGTTGTGTTTTCCCACTTATGTCATATTTACTAGATTTGACACGGTCTATGAAGGAAGTTCAAATATCCCGATTATAATAAAAGAAGAAAAGGGATGATCTCACAGTAGATACGAGGATTGGGATTAGAAGAAATCAAGGAGTGTCATGTGATGTGTCAGCTTTGTCAAACATGTCAAATATGCTCATCCTGTCATCTGTCGTTACTTTTTAGTAGTTGTGTTTTTGTTTTAGTTGATTTAGGGCTACGGCATTTACCTCTCCCCAAATGGAAATCAGGTAATTAAAATATGCATTTTGTATATAATCTGCACATTTATTAAGTATACTTAACAGGGACAATGAAAATATTTCAGTTTGATAACCTTTTAACAAGTTTTGAGGTGGTCTGTCAACCGACCCCCAAACTAAATAGCCTTTGTTTCTATACATCCATAGGAGAAAATTAATGTTTTATTTATGGTTTATTGCTACTATGAAATTAATGTATATCAAAGACATAATCTCACATCCTGAATTTGAAGTTTTTCCTTTTATGACAATAATGGCGAATTCATGAAAATCATAAAAAATGGTATCGGCGTAAACTTCAGAATTTAGATAAATTTTCCATGTTAGCTGATTTTATTTATAACTTTGAGATTATTTTGAGTCTTTTTAATAATACTGCTTATATTTTGATTCTCGCGACCTACTTTATTAATGAATTTCTAGTTAAATTTTGGTGGCCATTGAAACTATTGACCAAAATATATTTCAATTTATCTGACATGTTTTAGTGCTATCATTTAAACTTTTGAAAGAATCTTGAGGAAATTTACACTAGACTGTATAATCTACATTGTTTGATAAATGTATAGAGAAATAATTTGATGGCCATACCACAGCTGTTTTAATTTCTATATACTGTTGGTCATTAATTTATCATTTTTTTCTTTAATGGACTCTATTTGTTAGGATAATAAGAAGATACGATATTTATTTGTATTTCTTATTGTTTAAGATGTTTCAATATCAAAATTTTGCTAAAATTTGTTTTGAACAAGTTGAATTTTCCACTTTTATTTTAAATTTTTTTGGTAATTTAAATTCAAATTCTATTAGAGAGCTATAATTTTCTGTTTAATATATATATTTTACTATAAAATTAGGCAAGAGAGATTTCTTTAAAATGTAACATTTGTTTAGGAACTGACCCATTATAAAAATCTGGTTCTATAATTATGTGATATCAATCTTCGATGTACTTGGTATGCTGTATATGAACAGTATGCACCAGTATTTATATTTAATAGGAAATTTTGTAACCTCTTGTGGAAAATTTGTCTTCAGTTATCATGAAGTCCCTGGTGACCTATGTACTTATATATATTTTTTTCTTTCAAGCAGGTATGTCCAGTCCAAATTCACAAATCTGATATCTTTTCTCAAAAGTATAGTTCATATATAATTTGTTATTAATACTTAAAAAAAGATACAAAATGTATTAAATATTGGACATTCATCATAGTTTTTGTGATTTTTGTGTGATGTGTAATATAACTGCAACTTTTTACAATCTTCTAATATTGTATAATCTTTGATTATTCCCCCAACTAGTGGAACCTCACTTTAAAGGGAACCGATTCATAGATAGTCCAGTCTATAGGCAAGGTTTTTAAAGTATTCATTTTTACAGGTAGACTTTTCCTGATAGTTGTATATATTTTTATTCTATTATATCCTGATGTAGTTTATGTATTATTTCTTTCACTATGGCAAGATGTGTTTATTCCCTGAGTTCATCCCCATTATTTGTTTTGTTTTCTGATATATGTATTTTGCTGTACATGTTATTGGTGTTGCTGCATTTGCTATCACATGTTTGTTTTTTGAATGTATTAGATATTGTATTTGCCTGTAGATGCCTTTCTGTTTTCTTTATATTTTTATTAACACTTGAAAGAGGTATTTTTGGGTCTGTCAAAGTTCTTTGTGTATCTATGACAGAATCAAATTTGTATAAGACTTCATATAATGACGAGGTCTAACAGACCTCAGCAGAAACTTTCTCATCTGGAGGTTCAAATAGAATAGAGTAGAAAAAAGCTTTATTCTCAGGATTCACAAGTTACACACAAATATAAATTGTCATTAGAGAGAATGGTGTCAATTATAATTTATAATGGTTGCTGTACAACCTACACTTAACATAAAAGTAATATTAAAATGTAATAATAATAACAGTGACATTTAGATTCAGATAAGAGCCCTCAGTCTCCCCACTGGTCAGCTTGAAGGTATTCTTCTAATTTGTATGGTTCGAGGTATATGAGGAACTGTTGAATAGACTTTCTATATTTATGTCAGACTGTTAGTCTATGTATTGGTATATTATAGTTTATGAGATTGTTTCATGTATTAAATTTAATGTATTTAAAAATGAAAAGTAAGCATTCATATATGTATGTTCCAGCCATTGTTAATATGTATAGATTTTTGAAATTACCTCTACATGAATCCCTATATATCCCCATAATTTAAGACTCATAGGTATTTGTTTGCTCAACAATAATGTCCACAATTTCGTTTCGAATTTTGAATTTTAATAATTTGTTTGAGGATTTAATTTTATTCCAAATATTCTCACCTTTATGTTCAATATTTAATGCCTAAACATTACCATTCATCTGTTTCTTTTCCATAATATTAAGTGCCTCTGAAACATTTTTTATTTCACTGTCATCACCGCTATAATCAGAGTCTGATGTTTCATGAGGTTTGTCATATATTGAACCATCCACATCAAAATCTGATTCTAAGTCACTGTGTATAGTGATAGCATTTTGCAAAAATGTTTTTGTTCTGCTTGCAAACATTGTAGGTCCACTAGCTTTGACTGTCTAATAAATACAGTGTCTATGTTACATAATTTAGATTCTCAAACTTAGCCCTGCCATTCAATCATCTGATTGAAACTGTTTCTATTGTTCAAAATATTGATTTTAATTCACGCCAAGCAGTTTTGACCAATAGAAAACACTCATATGGCAATGCATTCATTCACCAACTTCTTACATTTTTTTACAATAATTTGACTAGAGTACTCTATGGGATTTTAAAGGGTATCAATAACATTAAAAATTGTTCAAAAATAATAATTTTACAGCTTAGCAGGTGGGAATGTTTAAAAAAAAATTATCTGCCAAATAAGACGTTTTGTATCTCCTTTTGAAATCATGATATTTTGATGACTTATGTTTATTTCTGTATTCTTTTTATTCAGATTAGTTTGTGTTTGTATAAACAGAGGGATATATTTCTGTTGCATGCTAGGTTTTTATCTCTTTTTGTTTCTATGATATTGCTGCTCTACATATTTGCAGTATATGTAGAGACGCCATCAGGAAAAATCCTAATTGGAGAAGGTTGTGAAAAAAAAATATCTTCTTTGGAACTTTAGCACTTACATGTGACATTTTAATGAAAATAAAGTTGCAGAATGACATTTTAATCTGAATTATTAAAACTGAATCTTCTGTAAATATTTTAACACTTTTGTCACAAAAATGAACTTTAATTAATGGTAATTAATACAGAACAAAAAGGAATACATATCAAATGTACTTTTTTATATATGGAAAGTAAATGGCCAGTGGTACAATCCAATTCTAGAACACCAACTGATTTTTGTGAAGAACATTCTCAATTGGTGTTGGACTACAATAGTTTTTACAGTGTTCTGACCAATTCTGTGTAATTAATCAGTGTATGGCAGTGTTGTTGAAAAAATTGGAAGGATTTTGATCATTCTACTGGCAAATCAAGACTGCTCATCCCTGGTGGAAAGATGCTGCTGTCTTTGGACTCTTTATCATGTTAAGTCTTTCTGTACTTTTTTTTCAGTTACTTGAGTGACTTGGCTTGAGTTACAACTTTTCTCCATTGTTCCCTATTTTTTGTAGTGTTCACCAGTTTCCCTTTCATTATTTTGATGTTGCTAATAACCTGCTCCTCTCTTTTATTGTTAGGTGTGTTTCTGTGTCTTTATTATGTAGTGCCAATTTCTACAATTACTTCGTTGAGCTTGTCAAAAACTTATTCTTTTACAACTAGTTCATCAATTGATGGAGCACATATAACAACAGTGATACTTTTTATGCATCTTTATGTGAAGAAGTGTATTACTTGAAGAATGATGACACTGACAGCTTTCCAATCTGCAATGTTTTTTATTCATTTTTGCTTTATGAGTATTGAGACTCCTATTTTGGCTTTTTAGTCATTAGGTACTTCAGTATACAAGCATACATATTGGTTTTTCTTTCTATACCAACTTCTTTTTTATTCAACGCTGTTAGTACAACAATGTCTAGATTAATATTTACTACTTCTTTTAGTATGATTTAAAATTTCCCAGTTAGTGATTTTACTTTTCATGTTCCCATATTGATTGTCTTTTTTCTGTACCTGCTTTCACCTTAAGAGTTTATTATCTACATAAAAAAAGAGGTTAGTCTTTGTAAGTGGGTATATTTATTTAAAAACCCTTAAAAGGGCTACATCAAAAAAACAAACGTTTTCGGACTAAACAGTCCATCACCAGGTTTTAAAATCGCCTAAAATAAGTATAAACCATTTAGTTAAAACAAACGTGGTTATGAAATTTTGACTATGGTTAAAAAGCAAAAATGGCTATACTTACTAGGTTAAAATGCCTGAGCCACCAAAAATACATGGGTAAAAACCCTTTAAATTACATATAGTTATAAAAGATTATACATCTTGTTGTTAACAAACTGTGATGTTCAGTATTAAATTAAATATGACTTCAAGTAACATACATTGCAAAAATTGAGTTCCAGAGCCGGAGAGAAAACCTCTATGCACGGAGAACAGCTGGAAACTGATTTACAATATGCCTATGAACGGTGTCAAAAACAAAATGTCAATGTAACATAGAACTATATTAGTTATACCTAGTATTACTACAGCCAAAAGATTTAAAAATTATTTTTGATGATTTTAAAAAATAATAACAGCAATATAGGTGTTGGGATTTAAAATCTGGGTTATAATTGATGTGAAATCACCAATGGTGTTAAAGACATGTTTAAGAGGATGACCTGTGTATTAGGCAACCTATGTTGCTTTTTGTCGTATGGAATATGGTCTAAAAGTGTATTTTATGTTAGATTAGCTTATATATATGAAAATTATCCTTTTATGTTTATCACATCTAGGACAGGTAAAAAATTTTTTTAAAAGCAAATATTTGAAGCTAATATAAGACCTCGTAT